GCTGTCCCAGCAACGCAGAGATGCCCACTGGCCTGGGCCCTCTAGCCCCGGTGCAGAGGCACTGCCATCCCCATTGATGCTGGTTGCTGCTGGGTCCCACCACTCACCTGAACTGGGAGGAGCCGTATTTCTGGAAAACACAAAAGAAGGAGAGAGTCGGTGGTGGGAGACTGACAGAACGGCAGCTCCTCTCTGGGGCTGCAGCTCCACACATCCACGCCCTGGGCTGGAAAAGCCAAGGGCTCTGCTCTTCTGGGAGAGCTACGGGCATTGCCTCTCGTGAAGGGCAGGTCTTTCCCAGCGGGGGGAAGCCCTGGCTGGACAGAAGGCACCTACATCTTACTTCTCGTGGTGTCCCATCTATGCTTGGTGAGGGTTCCCACTGCCCAGGGCAGGGCTCAGGGCTGGGAGCAGCGGGCTGAGGGCTGGAGAGCCTGGCTGTCACTGCCTTCACTAGCGAGGACACTCACCCGGATGAAATCAAGCTGGTTTTCATTGCTGAGTGCCTCTAGAGAGCTCTGCATCTCCTTCAGCCTCTGCAGGGCGTCTGATGTCTGCTTGACCTGGGACTCAATGGAGGTGATGAGCTGGGCTGCCTTCCCCTCGATGCTCTCCAGGAAGGTGGCCTTCTCCTCATCGATGTACTTGTGCAGCTCCTGGAACTCCTTCCGGATCACCCACTTGAAGACATCTGCCTCGTTCTGCCAGGAGACAGCAAGGGGCTGTGCCGAGCTGCCTTGCTCCATCCCCTTCAGCCGCTTTTTTGGGTCGAGAGATGCCACCAGCAATGTCAGCGTGTCCCACCAAGCCACCCTCCACCAGCTTTCCAAACAAAGAGCAGCTCTGTACAGCAGGCTAGATGCTGTTTCGTCCTGCTGCCCTCAGCAGCTCACCACCACGGCACCCCCGCCTTACACCGTTCTCCTCCAGATTTTGAGTTCCTCATGTCCCAGCCAGCTTCATCAGAGCCTTGAAAGAGCTCTTGAATGCCCCACGACCTGTGTCCTGGGGTGAGGGGAAGAAAGTGCAGCTCCACTTTCATTTGGGTTGAGCCCTTCTGAGGAGCCCCAGTGGGAAGCTTTGGCCTCAGAAGGGATGCCAGGAGGTCCCTTGGAGACATCTGCTGCGTGGGAAAGAGACACGCAGCTAAACCAGGCATAAGCTTGATGGGACACCAACGGTGTGGCTCTGACTGGGAACCCTGCTCTGAGTGGGCTCCTTTTCCCCTGTCATCTCCCCGCCTCCAAGGGCATTCAGGCAAACCAGCTCTGACTGCTGCTCCCCCCAGGACACTTGGTGAGGGCTACATCACCCCTTTCCGAAAACAGGGCTGTGCCACCAGAGAGGGCTGCGTCACCCTTCCCGAAAACACGTCGTTGTTTAATCCCTGAGTTTCGTGGAGAACATGAACCTCGGGGAACAGGGTGGAAGGTCTGCTATCCCAGCGAAGGGAGAAGAGAAGGAGAGGAGTAGAGGAGACAAGCTGGGGAGAACCAGGAGCAGAGGCTGCTCCAGGGGCTCTGTGGGACACAAAGGACTCAGGGACACAGGCTCTCTTGGCCCACGGCACTCACCGCGATGCGGCTTTTGTTGTTGATGAGCTTGCTGAATTGTTCATCCAGGTTCCGCTTGTACTGGTGGACATCAGTCAGCAGCACAGACAGCTCCTCCTGAAAAGACAGCACCCCCGTAGGAGGGACCTCTGTGGCAGACTCCTCGATCGCAGGCAGCTTCCTCTGAGCTCCCTGCTGATCCTCTCTTGATCCAGAGGATTTGGGGTTGCCGGAGGCAGGAGGAGCGCTCAGAGCACGGCCCTGATCTGGATGCTGCTGACCAAGTACTCTTGCCAGGAGCACCGTGTCTGCGTTCCCCTTCCCGACCCTCCGTATCTCCCAGCCCGTGGTGGGCTCCACGCCAGACGTGGCAAGCGGGTGGCGAGCAGCCACAAGCCAGCACCAGGCCAGCAGCAACCAGGAGCCTGGCTGGGCCAGGAGCGTTTCTGGTGCCTCCTGCTCTTATCTCCCCGGTGCCAGGAGCGGAGGGGACGGGTGGCCCTGTGCTTTTTTTCCATTCCTGGGGCTTTCATGTGATGCTGGGCAGGGGACGCCGGCTGTTTGCTCTTCCAGGCTGGGGCTCGGGTTTCCCTCCCTCCCTGCCCTCCTGTGGCACCTCGCCTCAGCCTTATCTCCGGGCTCTTTTTTGATCCTATTTGGAAACAGGCTTGAAAGGCCCCACCGACACTCCCCGACCCCCAACTCTCTCCACCGCAGCGCAGCCACCGAAACTGGGGAGTCCTCTCAGCCGGGGACACGCACCAGCAGCTCCCCAGCCCCGGGGACCCTGCCCCTCCTGTGCCACGGGACCACGCTCTCCACGCTCCCATCATTTCCAGCCTGTCCCTTGAAGGAGAGGGGGACGTTTGGCCAGCAAGCCCTGCTTGCTGATCCCCTGATCCCCACCCCAGGAGCCCCGTCCGGCTCTGCCACCCCACCTTCATCCGGCAGTAGGCGGTAGAGAGGGGGGTGATCTGGTGCTGGCGGTGGTCGCCGATGGTGCCGCACAGCCCGCAGATCACCTCTCGGTCGGCCTCGCAGAAGAGGCTGAGGGGGTTGTGGTGCATCGGGCAGGACTCCGGGGTGGGCTCTGCCTC